TGCACTTAAATGATGGAGGAACTTTCCTTAGAAGTATCTTAGAAAACTTTACCCTAAAAAATGGCTCTGGGGGGCTGGGTGGTTAGCTCTGTTGGTTAGAGCACAGCCTTATGTAACACCATGGTCAAGGGTTCAGATCCCCATACCGGCCAACTGCCAAAAAAAAAAAAAAAAAAAAAAAAAAGGTTTGGTGGGGAGGTTGGCTGGTTATTTCACACCAAGATTAAGTGTGCGGATCCCTGTACCAACCAGGTTCCAAAAAAAGAAGAAGGCAAAAAAAAAAAAGGCTCCAGGACTCCAGGAAGTGGGAATTCGGGGAGGGGATGACCACCCTGGAATTAAGCAGCCTGTTTCTGGAGGGGCCTTATATCCTTTCTTAAAATTCAGAGATCCTCTCCCAGGGGTTCACAGGGGTCCCTACAAAGAGGTTCACATGCTCCCCAATTTTTCTGGAAGACTCTGCATCCCCATTACAGGAACCTGGGGAATCTGTAGGTGAAGACCTAGAAGACCTAGAAGAACCTCAAGATATAAAGGTAAGTGAAAAGAGCAGAAGGAAGGGGTAGGCAACAGTAACATCCAGCATGACCCCATTTATGTAAAAAAAAATCCACAAAGCCAACCATGGAGTCCTCTTTTTTTATACATATGCATGTATGAGGGTACTTCAAAAAGTTCATGGAAAGATTAGTATTATCTTTCAATTCTATTTTACCATAAACTTTTTGAAGTACCCTCGTAAGTGTGCAGATACACAGACATTCCAGGGTACTGTTAGGGGAAGGATAGGAGACATTTTTTTAAGCATTTGTTTTGTTTGATTTATCTTAAAGAGACAGCATCATTTTTGTAACACTAATAATTGTGAAATGAAAAACAGGACCCACTCCTTATAATCAGGCACAGAGGGCGCTGTGGACCACACCCATCTGCTGCCACTCCTTCCACCTTGTAAGAACAGGCTCAGGATGCCACCCACCACAGGCTCCCATTCCTTATCTCCAATCCTGAAACCACCCAAAAAATATGGAAACCAAATTTCTTCATCTGGCATCAAAGCTCAACCTGGATTAAGATTTTTTTTACCTTTAGTCCCATTTACTGTGGATATGCATACTTTACACGGCAGAATATGAATGTGTTTATTTGATTATGTGTTGTGGCCCCAGGCCCCAATGGGGGTGTCACATGCTATGTGGTATACACACCATGATACCTGTCCAAATCAGAACATTTCTGATTCTGAATCACATCTGGCCCTGACAGTTTTGGCGAGGGATTGTGGACCTAGGCTCATGTTAATGTCATGGCAGCCCCTTTCCAGGAGTTGTCCTTCAGAGACAGTCACCCACTCTCCAGGTAGCTTTGGCCTTGGGTCATTGGGATCGTCACCCTAGTGTCACTTTCTGCCCCTAAAAATCCTTCCTTCTCCCGTTCCCTGCTGGAGCTCCTGACCTCCTGAAGGTAAGGTTCCTGCTCATGGCCTAAGGTTCTTGTTCATTGCCTTGAGGGTTTAGAAAGATCCAGAAACAATGAAGGGACGTTTCCTCCAGGAGCCAAGGGAGAGTTACTGTCCTGTTGCTAAAAGGAGAGCCAAGCAGTCAGAGCCTTGTCTTTCCCAGACAAGGCTAATGATGGTCACTCAGGACCCTCATCCCACCACAGGCACAGGCAACCCCAGGACCACACGCTGGTTGTTGCCAGCCCAGAGAGCAGCCACACTGGGCCTCTGCACCCTGGAGTAGCTGGGGATGTCAGAACAGCAGCCCCAGGACTGTCACCTTCTGGTTCTGACGTTGGCAGGTAGTTTGAGGACTTCTCCATTGTCCCATCTATGACCACCTCTACCCCCTCCAAAAACCCTCTACTTTTTTGTCCCCTTTCAGGAAATGGAGGGGTTATAAGAACAGCACCTAGACTGGGGGGTGAGCGGGAGGTGGGGGGAGTTGGGAGGGAGAAATGGCTGATGAGAAGGCCATCTGTGGTTAAAGGAGTGACATTGGAAGAGATCGAAGATGATGGCTCAGAAGAGCCAGGCTTCCAGATGTTGGGGGAGTGTGTCTGCTTATGCCTGGGACGGGGAGACAGGGAGAGGCAGACAGACAACACAGAGACAGATAGGGATGAAAGAGATGGGGTCCCCTTTCAGGAAATGGAGGGGTTATAAGAACAGCACCTAGACTGGGGGGTGAGCGGGAGGGGGGGGAGTTGGGAGGGAGAAATGGCTGATGAGAAGGCCATCTGTGGTTAAAGGAGTGACATTGAAAGAGATCGAAGATGATGGCTCAGAAGAGCCAGGCTTCCAGATGTTGGGGGAGTGTGTCTGCTTATGCCTGGGACGGGGAGGCAGGGAGAGGCAGACAGACAACACAGAGACAGATAGGGATGAAAGAGATGGGAAAGGTGGGAAGAGAGACACAGACAGAGACCAAGAAAGTTAAAATGCTTCAAGTCTGGCTATGGTATTTCAGCAAACATGTTTCTGAAACACCCCCTGAACTGCTATTTTTACTAAAAGATGTCTCAGTCTAGTACAAGGAATTCCCCCAAAGCAGAAGGCTGGTACTTGTAGATGTTAAAATCTGCACCCATCATTTTAGAACAATGTTAGTTAATTAACCAATCCATGATTGTTCCAAGATGGAGATCCAGGGCTTACAAAGTAATAAGGGGGCCTAAATTCAGCATTTATGTATAATTGAAACCCAAAATTTGTCTGAAGGCAAGAAAAGCCCCTGGCTGGTAAGTCCTTCAACAGGCCCCTCAGATGTCTCCAGCTGAGCCTTGGGGAGTGCTTCTGAAGTGGCAACTAGGAGTGGGCCATGTCTCTTGACTGCTTTCCATGCCTGACCCCCAAGGGGCAAGCACACTGAGCTGAGACTTCTCCCAAAGCAAAAAATTGCTTTGGAAGAATAACACTGACTATCATTTCCAAAATATGAGGAACGGGAAGGGTATCAGCAAGGTGCATGAGTCCTTCCAGGGTGGGCAAGACACTGGTCCTGGTTATTAAGGAGGCTGGAATGAGGAGGGCAAACTGCCCCTGGATGTGCCCTTAGCAGAATGATGCTGGGATCCAGGTCAGTTGTTTCCTGCCCAGCAGGAGGCTGGACAATGGGAGGTCCTTAACTGTATTGAATGAAAAACTGGGTCACCTTCCTTAACAGGGGCCCAAGCCAGGAGGTGTGGCCTCAGTGATCTGTGGCTGAAGCTGCCCCACCAACAGGGCCCCAGGCTGACTGATAAACTGGATGGGCGAGCTCATGCCTGAACTGGTTAAAGCATTATCTTTGCGAGTTACCTTCAATTATAAACCCAGAGGCTTCCCTCTAGTGGTTAGCTGTGTGACTTTGAGTAAGATTCATCACCTCTGTGCCTCAGTTTCCTTTGTTGTAAAATGGGCACAGTGTTGTATCGAGAGCTTCATAAGGTGACGTTTGAAAAACACTTAGAACAGTGCCTGGCACATAGTTATAAGATTCAGTCCTCCAGCCTGGCCTGATATACATTCCAATCCCCCAGTATTTTCTGGGAACTTCCTCTGGGCAAAGCAACAAGGTTCCCTAGGATGGGGAATACTCAGTAGGGCTCAAATGGGAGATACAGACTTACACACCCAGGCAGCACCATCAGACTGATGTGTCTCTTACATCAGTCGCTCCTGGTGTCACCTCTGCCCTGGACAAGAAGCCCAGACTGATGGCAAACTGAGTTCTAACCACTGCTTGTCCCTGAGCTGCTTCAACACCTGCCCGGGAGGGTTCATCCACAGAAGCCCTGAAGGCCCAACTCCACGCAGTAGGATCAGGAGCCCAGTTGTGACTCCTGGGGCTTTCCATTGTTATGTCAGAAGCGTCTGGAGCCTTTCAGGGAGGGCTGTGATGAATGCCCCCTTTCTTCTTTCAGAAGACAGTCATCAAAGACACACATCACAGGGCCCAGCGGGAGGCTGGCAGTAACCAACAGGCTTGTTATAAGCACATAGGGAAAAAGAGGGTCACCAGGGTCTTCCTAGCACAGTGGGGCCAGAATTGCAGGGCACAGGAGAACCTTGAGAACCCACTTTATAGGCTGGTCAAAAATGATTCTTTCCCATTCTCTACTCGCGACTTCTAGTCAATGCTTTCTGGTGACAACGGAGAAGGTGGGAGCCGTGTCTCACTGCAGAAACTGCCCTTTGTCCTTCTGGGCTGGGATAGACAGCAGTCACTCTGCCTGAATGACCCCTTCCCCCTCTTCTTCACTGATCCTGAGGAATCCATCTCTCACCACCCAGACTCGCCAAGACCGACCCCTTCTCCCATAAGCTCAGAATTCGTGGTGAATGTAGGCAATTGGAACAACTCTTTTCTATCTCGTGACTTTTTTCATCTGTATTCTATTTTTCTCTGGCTTTGATTTACTATTTCTTTTCTAGCTTCTTGAGACAGAAGCTTAATTTATTGATTTTCAGCCTTTCTGCTTTTCTAATAGATGTACTTAAGCCTATAAATTCCCCTCTGAGCTCTGCTTTAGCTACATCCCACAAGTTTGATGTCACATTTCCCTCTTGTTTTTAAGATCAATGTCCCTCTGATAAATTAGAATATTCAGACCAAGTCCTGAGTTCCAATTTAAACTATAAAGTTGATCTCACTTTATTCCCAGAACTACTTGGTTGTAGACTCTTTGTAAAAAGATTCAAAAGAGTGAAGCTGCTGGGAAGTTTAGGACTCCTAAATGTGGCAGAAAAGAGTCAAAAGGAATAATTTGACGACTTTTGTCTTTTGTTTTTATATACATTTTCAATTGAATAAAAATTGCAAATATGACTTCTTAAGATGAAACTAATAAATCATCCAAGCAAAGACTTCCAATACCTGTAGGATAAACCTTACTTTAAAAAACATATTTTAGGGATGGCCCCGTGGCTCACTCGGGTGAGTGCGGTGCTGTTAGTGCTGAGGCCGAGGGTTCGGATCCTATATAGGGATGGCCGGTGAGCTCACTGGCTGAGCGTGGGGCGGACCACACCAAGCTGAGGGTTGCGATCCTCTTACCAGTCAAAAAAAACAAACAAACAAACAAAAAAAAACATATTTTAAAGTTAACAGAAAATCTGCCAACATTCCACGTAATTAGGAGTTCAGAAATGGAAGCCACCTGCGTGTTGCTGATCTAGTCATATTACATTTATTTCATGTCATTGTGGTCACTTTTACAGCTGTTTAGATTTATTTTCAATCACGTTACTGTTCACAGAATTCACAGAATTCATTAACAAACTAGTATTTTACATTCAAGGGTTTTCAGTAGCACAGCAAAATAGAAAAGAGGCCCGCGAGTTGCTTGTGTGTGGAACCCAGGTCTGATTATTTAGACAGGAGTCTGGAACATTATTGCTTTATTAGTCCTATTTTTAAAGATAATAAATTATTCCTAGGAAACCCACCTTGCCAAGTGTTCTTCATTCAGCGACTGTTCTGGGTTCACTCATGACACACCTGACTTATGGGTGCTGAAGGACCCCCACCTGTGTTCTGTGCTGCTTCTGCAGCTCTGAGGGCTGGCCGAGAGGCAGAACAATGCCCCTGCTTGCATGTAAACATTTTCGACAGCTTACCGTTTTCCTCCCAGGTCCTGCAGCTGACAGGCTGCATTCACATATGGGTCTCTACGTAAAACTTGAATTAGACCTAAACAGGAGGGTTCAGGGAATGGGACTAATGCTCCTATAAAAGCCACTGACCATGCACGGGAATATATCTGAAGCAACAAAAATATCTCAAGCCTCAGTCTCTGAGGAATGTCTTAAAGAAAATGTCCTCAATGATTATGGTCCATTGTGGTCGCTTTGCACAAGCTTGTCAGCGACATGAAGTTGAAGACTTCTTGGTAGATTTCATGACTGGGTTTTTAATTTTGTTCCACATGAGTTCAATTTTGTGAAAAATATCTTGGAGATTTCCTCGTGGTCTCCAAAGCTCTGCGGAACTGTGGATAACGGGAAGAGGGGACTGGCTTCCTCAGGGATGCTGGAGCTCCGACCACCTTTGGAGCAGGATCCCTGAGAGTGGTGGCCCCATCAGGTTTGGGGGATGGGGGCAGACACTATGTGCATAATGCAAGTGCAGTCGGGGCCTCAGTCTAGCTTCTTGTTGTTGTCTGTGCTATGCACAGAAGCTAAGAAGTCGACGATGAGCTTGGCTGTCTTCCTGGGTCTCTCCATCACCACTGAGTGCCCACAGTTTTCCAGAAGCTCCACCTGGCAGTCAGCAATTGACCTGGCCAGCATGTCTGCCCCAGACACATCGAGTACCTGCCAGGCAAGAGAGGGAACAAGATGACACACAAAGATCCAGATGCCTGGGTGTGCTCTGTGGACAGAAACTCCACCAAGGCCAGGCGAGGTGTGGTAGAGGGGGGTCAATTTTAGGACTAAGTCACTTAGGTATTACGGTTTGTGGCTCTCTGATAGAGGTGACCACATGCCTCCTGTTTGATTCTACAGCTTGATGCCAAGAGGTGCGCTGTTGCCACCAATACTGAGGTGGAAACCACTCAGTCCGTGCCCATGAGGAGGCCATGGTCTGGTGGGGAAGCCAGGCAGGCTTGATGCCAAGAGGTGCGCTGTTGCCACCAATACTGAGGTGGAAACCACTCAGTCCGTGCCCACGAGGAGGCCATGGTCTGGTGGGGAAGCCAGGCAGGCTGAGACAAATGTAGCACAGTATGACAAGGGCTCTGCTGGGGCGGGGATCCTGAGAACACAGAGAGCATTGGGAGAGCAGGGGAGGAGTATTCGTGGAAGAGGGAACAGCACAAGGGCAGGAGATAGTGGTGACCTTGGTGGCTGAGACATAGCACGTAGGCAGTGGTGGGGAGCATGGTGGTAAGGGGGGAGAAGAGGGGCCCCGCTACTCCAGCCATGTTGGGACAAGGGGAGCCGTGGGCTGTGTTAAGGAGAGTGACTTGATCAGGCTGTAGTAGGGAGCCCAAGCTGTGGAAAGGGCACACGAGAATGATACAAGAGGTGAACACTAATTATCACAAGCTGCGGTGGGGGTGGGCAGGGGTACGTATCTCCAGAGCTGTGTGACCCGGCCCTGACGTTTGTAGATAACAGGGAATGTTTTTGCAACATGAAAGCCAGCACATTTCCAGGGCTGACAGTCTTCAAACAACTCATTTACTCTCATTTCCATGTGGGTTCCCCGCCATTGTGCCAACCCAGGTTCATCTCCCCCCAACACCCTCCCCTCGAGGTAGATTTGCATTCACTCCCTTCTCTTAATCACCTTCACCTGCAACTCACCCCGGACAGGAGGGCCCCTCCTCCCCATCCTTAATGGCAAAAGCAAAAATCCCAACCAACACAAGCACCTTCTGCATTTGAGCTTTATTCTCAGCAACCCAGATCATTAAAACTAAGCTTTTCCGTCCACGTGGAAGTGGGGTGAGCAGAATGCCTCAGCCAAGGAATGGAGCAGTGCTGAGCACCCTGGACCAGGAAAAGGAGTGGTTAAGGGGAGCTCAGTGGGAGGGGAGAACCAGCCAAGGAGTCAGACACCTCTGCCTTGTCACTCACAGCTAAGGCGGCCGTGGCAGCTGTCTGAGCAGGAATAAAGCTCAGCTACTATGGAAAAATACCCAGAGGAAATGCAGACGGAGCCAACAGGTGAAAAAAAGTATGAAAAAGTAGGATTTCCCAACTGAGTGTCTAGCCTGCAGAAAGATCAGAAACCACAACTCAGAAAAAAATACCCCCATGAGCCTCTAGCTTTGGCATTGCTAAGCTGGTCAGCAGTACAAATCCGGCATTCCCCATGGTTGCCCAGAGGTATGTGAAATTGCTGAATGGGCCCTGATGAGACACGCATGCCTGTGGGAACCACGTCAGGTATTTTTTGGACAAAATACTCAGGTAAATGGTCAAAAATTTATCCTCCATCCCATTTCAGGCCAGGGCCAGGACTAGAGTGATGCAGGTGAGGCACTCACCTGGGACACAAAATTTTAAGTGGACACCAAAAACTCAGCAATCAAGATGAATAATATTTTAATGTGGTATTTTTTAAAATAAACATTCATGCTCAATGAACAATGTATCAAAATTCTAGATACAGATGGGATCCAACCCCACATTTGCATGATACATTACTCTCATCTCACTCTAGTCCCAGCACTGCCATGCATTATGGTGGTAGGCAGACTATAAAGGTGCTGGAGGGCTGGGATCCTGTCTGTCTGGGTCCCTACTGTACCCCCCAGGCCTAATGCTTATACAGTGTCAGGCACATAATAGGTGCTCAATAAATACTTGTTAACTGACTTGAATGTGTAGGCAGTCAGTTGGTGGGTTTGTCTCTTTGGTAGCTTATTTGTTTATTCACTTCTTGCTTGCTTGCTCACTCACTGTGTACTCTGGGTCTCCTACATACCAGGCACTGTGCTGGCAGGATAAAGGGATGGAGTAACAAACCTTGTTTTTCTCCACAAGGTCCTCCCATTCTGGTGGACTGAACATAGGGGAGAGGTGCTTGAACTGATATGCAGAAACCCTCTCAGAAAGGTCTGCCAGGTTCAGTTGTGCAGGTTGTATACTGCCCAAATCCAGGAAGCATCATTCACATAGATTACAAGGCACACAGCAGCAGTTGGTCTACGGGGGTCCGAAGAAGGGGGAGGCTGAATTCAGCCTGGCAGGGGCGGATACTGAGACACCAAATGTTGATGACAAGCAGGAAAAGAGCCAAAGATCTTTGGAAGCGAATGAAATAAAGGACCCACGAAGCTTCTGCTATTTGGCCTCTGCCCTGTGGGTGGTCCACAAAACACATAAAGGATCTGATCATATTTACAGCAGGCCCATAGAATGTTAGGCTCTTTTTCTGGAACAAAATTGACTTCAGAGTCTAGGAGGAAATTCTGGACTACAGACTGAGGCCAGCTATCAGAGGCACAGGATGTGTGTAATACATTACTTATTTTTTGATAACTTAAGAAAGAGCATCTACGTATGTATTATCTCATTTGAGCCTCACAATAACCCCACCAGTAGAAGAGAAACCCTCAGTTTGGAGGGGCTGAGCAACTTGCTCAAGGTCACAGGCTGGTAAAGGGCAAAGGCAAGGCTGGAATGCACTTTCAGACTCCAAGGCCAGTGCTCTTGCTTCTGCACTGTCTACACAAGACAATGAGTTGTGGCCTCTCCCTGTTGATCTCTGAGAACCCTGAATCACCTCTGGAAGTTTTAGAATGAAGAAAGGCCTTCATTGTTCTGGCTCTGATTTCTGATCAAATGAACCCCTGCTGGCTTGGCCTGGGCCCCATTTCTCTGACTCAGGCAAACACAAGGTTTCTTTCAGTCTCTTGGTGGCTGCAGAAGGGAGGACATGAGACCCACTTCCCTCCCACATCCACACTCCTGCACTGTACATCTTTGGCCACACCTGGCTGATCTGAGACACCGTTAGCCTTCCCTCCCCACAGACACCAGGGGCACACGCCTGACTTCTCCTCCCCAGTCTGTCCTGCCCTGGCCATCCACACACTTGTGGGCCTTTGTGGCCACAGCCTAACTTCCTGCCTTTGCTTTCATCAGCACTGGCAGGGCTCCCAATGGTGGCTTTCACCCCACGTCCTTAGGGGAACTGTCTCAATGGGGAAAGCTTTTCTCTAGTTTCCTTTTCTCTAGTTAATATTCAATAGCACAAGACTCTTATACACCTTTTGACAGACACTGTCATTTTGTTTACCTTGTGGACCTTAGAAAGGCTCCATTTCTCATTGCCTGCTCTTGCTTTCAACTTTACAAAGAACTTTCAATAAGATAAGATTTCTAAAAAACAGCTGCAAACAAAAAAAGAGCTTCTTGGGTATAAATTAGTATCTCTTTGGAGGGCCTGTTATGGGTTGAATTGTGTCCCCCACAAAATCCATACATTGAAGCCCTAACCCCCGGGACCTCAAAATGTGACATTATTTCCAAATAGGGTCACCGCAGATATAATTAGTAAAGATGAGGTCATACTGGAGTACAGTGGGCCCCTAATCCAATATGACTGACATCCTTATAAAAAGGAGAAACTTGGACATAGACAGACATGTCTATCTATAGAGAGAGAACACTACATGAAGATGAAGGCAGAGATCAGGGATCGCATCTATAAGCCAAGGGATGCCAAAGATTGCCACAAACCACCGGAAGCTGGGGGGAGAGGCATGCAACAGATTCTCCCTCGCAGCCTCAGAAGGAAGCAAATCTGCTGACACCTTGATCTCCAACTTCCAGACTCTAGAATGGTGAGACAATAAATTTCTGTTGTTTAAGCCACCCAATGTGTGGTACACTGTAATGGCAGGACCATCTGAAAAAACCTATTAAAATTTTAAATGCACATGCCCTTTGACCCAGTGATATCACATCTAAAAATTTACCCTTCAGAGATGCTTATATGCTCCACAAGCAACATGCATAATGATGTTCACTGAGGTACCGTTTAATAGAAAAAAACTGCAAGGAACCTAAGCGACCATCAGTAGGGCACTAATTAAATATGTTGTGGCAGAACTGTATAATAGAATACTATGTGGCTCTTAAAAAGAATGAAGTAAAAGATTGTTTCAGGCAAGAATCATCATGGAAGGTTAATTTGGGAGGAATATTGATGAAGAGCAGGATGACTGCATGGTGTTAAAGTGTCTCTTCCGAGACTGTTTATTAGTAACTCTACTAGGAAGAAACAGACAACACCCTGACCAGGCAATCAAAATTAAAATCACCAACAAAGGGCAGAAGGACAGGGTGCATCTGAGGACATGATGCATAATCACTTGTGAGATATTCTGGCCAGGGATATAGTACCTGGACTTCATCATGAGGAAATAGCAGACAAATTCATATTGAAGAGTATTTTATAAAATAACTGGCCTGTGATCTTCAGATGCCTCAACATCATGAATGACAAAGGCAGACTGAGGAATCATTATCTACTAAAAGAGACTAAAGAGACATGTCATGTGATCTTGGGTTGGATCCTGGATCAGGGTGGCAGGAGGAGGTGGGGGAGGCTACACAGGACATTACTGAAACAAATGATAAATAGGAATACGGACTGTAGATTAGATAAAAGCTTCGCATCAAGGTTAAATTTTCAGAATGTGATAACGTGCTGTGGTTATGTTAGAGAATATTCTTGTTTGCAGTAAATATACCCTAAAGTACAGAGGGTAAAGAGTCATAATATAAACAACCTACTCTAAATGGTCCAAAACGATATATTTCTAGGTAGATAAGAACAATAAAGGCAATGTGGTAAATGTTAAAAAATTACAAGTAAAATGTGACACACACATACCATGAGATAACACACGGCAGTGAAAAGGACCAAATTACTGATAAATGCAACAGTGTGATGAACCTCAAATACCTTATGTTTGACTGAAAGAAGCCAGATGCAAAAGACTATATATTATATACCAGTTGTAGGAAATTTCTAGAAATGGCAAAAGTATAGAAACAGAAAACAAATTAGTGGTTGCATTGGCTGGGGTGGAAGTGGATGTTAGCTGCAAATGGGCAGGTGGGAACTTTCTGAGGTGAAGAAGTATGCTATTACTAAGTTTGGTGATGGCATGCACTGGGTGAACTTAATCGTATGTAAATTACATGTCAATAAAGGAGTTAAAAATTGATGAATTTAGGTAAAGGGTCTACAGCAGTACTCTATACTCATAACTTTTCTGTAAGTCTGAAGTTATTTCAAAATAAAATATTTTTAAAAATAGAATGAGTAGGTCTGTATGGGCTGATATAAAATGATTCTCAAGATATATATGAGTGTGTGTATATATATATATACATACACACAAAATGTAAGGTGCAAAACCGTATAAGCTTCAATACCTTATATATGTATATTGCATACATGTGAGTGTGTGTGTTTGTGTGTACATATACACACACATATATACACACACACACTTAGAATAGGAGTGGGCAAACAATGGCTCACTGCCTGTTTTTGTAAATAAAGGTTCCCTGGAACACTGCCATGCCATTTGTTTACATACGAGTATCTGCTTTTGTGCTACAAGGTCAGAGTTGAGTAATCCTGGAATTGTGGACACAGACTATAGACCAAAGAGCTGAAAATATTTACTATCTGGCTTTTTACAGAAAATGTTTGCCAACCTCTGGCTTACAAAATTAAGAAATATAGACAAGATAGTAAGAGTCGCCTCAAGGAATTGGGATTTGGGATGTGAAAGAGACCAAGTTTTCATTATAACCCCTTTGGTTCTCTGAAGTTTTTTGTACCATGTGACTATATGGCTTTGATAAAAATAATTTTTTTTTTCCTTTTTGTCTTTTTTCGCAACCGGCAATGGGATCGCAACCCTTGGTGTCGCGCCCGTACCGCAACCGGCAACGGGATCGCAACCCTCGGTGTCGCGCCCGCACCGTGCCCAACCAGTGAGCGGACCAGTCTCTATATGGGATCCGAACCCTCGGCGGGCCCCCCACACTCTACCGAGTGTGCCACCAGGCCGGCCCGATAAAAATAATTTTAATAAATTATTTAAAATTGCCTTTCATTTTAAAAGATCAGATGTTGTTACTCTCAACTCACAGAACTATGCTCCCTGTGAACACTGGCACCTGAGTCAGGTGTATTCCAGCCCTTCCAGAGAACAGAAATCCGCCAGGGAGGCTCCCTTTATGAATGACCACTGGCTGTTCCTCAAGGACACTTTTCCTCAGAGGCCAGAGTAACTGGCACAGACAGCCACAGGACCATGTTACATACCTGGTCTTGTTTCCCCCAGATGATCTGTGTCGGGACCTTGATCTTGTCCATGTTTTGATGGAGAGAGTACCTTGACTTCTCACTGACGATTTCCAAAAATACTTGTTAGAAAAGGAAAACACAGTGAGCGTGAGCTGAGTGGGCCATGGGCACCACTGCAGATCAAGGGATAGTCATCAAATCCAAGCCACACTTCCTCTCTTCAGAGGCCCCAAAACACTCAAAGTCTCAGAGATTTAAGAAATAAAAGCCACCCATCCATAAAGCTTCACTTGTAACAAGCTGTAAGCTCAAAGCAGGCCTACTTACGCTTTCGGTAGAAGTTGTTGTGAGGGATGCGGACGTCGACAAGGCCTTGCAGGATCTGAGGATAAATAACCCAAGTCAGAAAGCAACAGAAGACCTGCCTCCCCAGGCCTCTCACACTCTGGGGCAATGAAGGGGAAAAAAAGTCCAGCAATTTATTCCATCATCAAGGTGTTTAGGGCCTGGTCCTCCAAATTCCCATAATGTAGTATACACAATGTCATTGGGAGTTAAGTTCCTAAGAGACACTTTTTTTAAATTGGGAAGGAACTGGGATAATACTGAGAAGCTAGAGTCCCCTAAATATGTAAAAGACACCTGAGATGGCCTGACAGACACTTGAGAAGCTTTCTGCTTAGTTAAGACACAATCAAGATGAACATAATATTGAGTAATTATTCAGTAATATTCAAATGCAAAACAAGGTCTATTAAAAAAAATTGATGTTGGTAACACCGAGTTCAGGGGTTCAGATCCCTGTACCAGCCAGCAGCCAAAAAACAAAAAAACATAATTAAACCACTGGGGGTGATGGGTCTGTTAAAAACAATGAGCAAATAAACTTTTGAGAACATTCCATAGTCCTTTGGAATGGGGAGGGTTCCATAGTCCTTTGTTTATCATTTGACACTGTCTTTGCCTTCCCTGCTGAGGGCTGGTGAGCACTGCAGCACATGCAGACAGGCCAGATCTCCTGGACCTGGCTTACTGACCCAAGGAGGTGGCTGTGGCCAGATGGAACACACCTTCCTCCTGCCTCAGGATAGAGTACAGGGTTCACATTTGCAGCTGTCACTCCTCTCATCTACCTGGAAACAGGTCTGAACCCATTAAATGCCCTCAGGATCCTGTGCACTGTGTGAAGTAGGGAAGACCCAGCCATGGTCCCTTTGGACTGAGCCAACCCTCTGGAGCATGACTAGAATCTGAACAGTTCTGGAGTGGAAGCCTGGAGGTGAGACCAATGACAATCTGTTGAACAACACTGTGCTCAGCAGCAGACATTTTCTTTGTTCTGCCATCCATCTTGCCCCCATGCATCTATCCATCTTGTATCCATCCATCCTCCACCTCTGCCCATTCACTCACTTGATCTATCCATCCATCCATCCATCCATCCTGCTTCCCTAAATCATATACACACAGGTCTACCCACACATCCATCTGTCCTGCATTCCCCAATCCATCCACCCTCCAACTCTGCATTATCCAGGCTCCTCCCATCCACCCAACCAACCATTTAGCCATCCATCCATCCTGCAGTGCTAAATCACCTGTGCATGCACATGCATCAGTTCACGCATCCATCTACCCATCTATCCATCCTCCATCTCTACATTATCCAGGCATCCTCTCTTCCATGGATTCATCCAATCTATACCCAGAACCTACTTCATGCAAGCACTGTGCTAAAGTCTGGGGATAGAAGAGTCAATTAAGATGAAGTCCCTAAGCTAACAAAGCTTGGAGAGGAAGACACGAACAAGCAGACAGACGATCACAACACAACGTGACATGGAGGGTTGAGTGCTCAGGTGCTCCTCCTCTCCCGAGAAGGAAAGGCTTTTGGAGCTACCATTTATTTTCTCTCAGTATTTTCATATCCCTAACAACTCAAAACACGGAGTTTTCTAAAATACTGTTTGGATACTCTATTCTGGGAAGAGATCAGTGCTGGGAGGGGACAGTGCAACTTCACAACTAAAAGAGTATTTCAGGGATAGAAAATACCACAGAAT